TGAGAGCCCTGTTGTTGGCCTTGACTATGGGGGTGTCTCTGTGCTTCACAAAGACCCCAAGGACAGCAGCTGTGAGTGCAGAGAAGCAGAGAGCCGTGCAGGCCAGAGCCATGCCCAGGGGGGCTTCATAGGCCAGGAAGGTGACCACCTTGGGGAGGCAGCGGTTCCTCTCACTGTTAGGGTGCTCGTGTGCGGGGCACTGGACACACCGCTCTGCATCTGGGGAAAAAGCACAGGTTCATTGTTTCTTTTTCACAAAATCCTCACTTTTAAATTAAAGGAAAGGGTTGTTTTTGCACTGTCACTGTGAGAACAGCTGCCTGACATAGTCCTGAGATATGTAGAGAATTTCCTCTCTTCCTGACTGCAGGAGAGGACCACACCCACTCCAACGGGACCCTCAGAAGTTGAGGGCTGAGGTAGCCCCCTGGGCTGCGCAGTGTCCCCAAGGACCTGGCTCTGCCTGCCCCCAGTCTCGCTCCTGTTGAGCCCCGGGTCGACACACTTATGACATTTACTATTCCCCTAAGAAAGCTCTCCTGGTCACACCCAATGGAGAAGTCAGTGACGCAGCCCTTCTGGTACATTCCACCTCTGTCACGACCATAATTTCTGGTGATAGTTTAAAATTTTTTCTTATTGGAAATGATCATTTCCTGTGAATATTTTGGTCTAATTTTCCATATAAGTACTGAAAAGAGAGTGATTGAAATATTTGAATTTTGAATGGGAATATATGGCTGCTATATGATTATTTTTATATTAATTGATATAGTAATGTGGTTACTGAAGAACAGGGCATATCTTTAAACCTTTCTGTTGATTTAAAACAGACAGTGGGTGGCGACCCTCCTTTGTGAGGTGGTGGGTCATGGGTATCGTGTCCTGGGTGCCCTGTGCTCCCCCTGCCACGGCTCACACCTACTCTCTCAGCAAGGATGCAGCCTCTGCCCTGGGCTCAAGGATGGCCCTGTCTGAGCTTAGATCTATTTTATGATAGAACCAGCCGGCAGTTCCCCTGCTGACAGTCTTATTTAGGTTTCATAAGAAGTGCTCATGCAATAATACAGAATTCCAAACTAACTGACAGTCACTGTTTCTCGTATTCCTTGAGATTCTCCTTCCTCGGCACAGTGAACAGGGCTCCCGGCATCTGTCTCCTGGCATCATCTTGTGAGGGCTTGGCACACACAAGTGTGTGTATGTGGCATAATGGGTGCCGAGCCTGTGTGCCTTTATTTCCCTTTCTTACTTTACACACTTATTTGGTATTTTTTTTTAAATTCAATGTGAGATTTTGTTAGCTGACTTTTACCTAAAGACATCTATTGACTTTGCCATGTGATTAAAATAAAATGATTCTTACTGTTAAGATGATGGCAATTGAACAGTATTTATGGGGTTCAAGTCATTATAATGTGTATTATTGATATCTTGAAAAACACAAATATTTTTGAATGAGTAATGCTATGTTTTCTATTTTCCAGGAATATATTTAATTTAGACATAAAATTCCTGAAATTGGAGATGCGCATAGAACTTATCTTCAGGGATCCCAGATCGTGTCTGGTTAGGATGCTGTGACTTCATATTTTCACTTCTTCCGTTTCTTGTTCTGTGTTATATAATCTGACATTATAGCTATATTTATATTAAGTATGTGTGTTTGGCACAAAACTGTTCAGAGTTCATGACATGGCACAAAACAGAATAGAATTTTTTATGATGGTTTAGATACTTATCATTTGGTATGCAAAAGTGTTGGTTTCAAGGCCTCCGTGCACCCGCAGGGAGCTCTGTGCATTTGACATCTTACACGCACCGACAGACTTTGCCTGGTGCGCTGGGAAATCTCAGCCGCACTGATGGTCAAGGACTGTGACCACTGGCCCAGCACCACAGGGGTGCCTAACAGGAAAAGCCCTGCTGACAGAGCTGACACCTAACCCGGTGGCAACAGTGAGGTTAACACGGAAAGAGTGAAAGAGTGAGTGAGCGGGAAGATGGAGAGCAGGGTGCGCTGTGGCCCCAGTGTGAGGCCAGCAGCCTCGGTGTCCTCACTTAGGACTGGTCACAAGGCAGAGTGACCATGGGCTCCTCCCGCATCACCTACCTGTCTGATTGGAAATGTGTCCCTCGGGGCAAAACACACAAGCAAAGCAGCAGACGGGCCTTCCTTCCTGGGGGATCTTCCTGAATCCCGGGGCACAGCTCTTGCTGCACACAGATCGAGGAGTCTGAGGGAAAAGGGCCACAGTCATGATTCTGCAGATTACCTGCGGCTTCAAAGGTGTCCATGAGTCTCCTGAGAGATCCTTGATGTTGGCAGGAAGTCCTCACCACAGCGTCCACCACTCCCACCGTGCTGACATGGCCTCGGCTTCTTGACCCAGATACCTGTGCTACCTTGACTTTGTTTTACTAAATATTCTCCAGGCTCCCGGTCATTTTCTTTCCTGCATCACCAGCTGCACCCCCAGCCTTTTCCTTCTTTGTATTTAACCTCTTCCCCCAGAGCTCTGGGATGCAAGGTCCCATGTGCCGATGGTTCCAAGAGTTTCTACGCCTGATGGTATTTTTGCCAGACCTTCATTCTTGGTTGGAAAAATGAAACCAAAACTACACTGGGATTTCTTCTCACTTCAGTTAGACTGGGAGTCATCTAGAACACACACAACATTAATTACTGGCAAGAATGTGGAGGAAAAGGTCCATGTATGCACTGTGGGGGAAGTTGACAATTAGTACTATTATACATTCCGCAAAACCCAGATGGAACTATTGTATGACTCACCTCTTCCAGGTTATACAGCGTAATTTACCATAGCTGATTATGAAATCAGGGCAGGTGCCCATTAACAGACACAAGGATAACAAGTGTGGCAGATATACATGATGGAGTTTTACTTAGTCATAATGTTGAATGAAATTATGTTATTTGTTGGTAAATGGCTGGAACTGGAGAACATCATGCTAAGTGAAATAAGCCAGGGTCAAAGTCAAGGGTTGAAATTTTTATTTCATGTGTGGAGAGAGGCTGGGAGGTGGGGAGAACAAAAATAGCAACTTACAAAAATAGAAGGGAGACCTACAGAGAAGAGAGGGGGATGGACAGGGAGGAGGGGCAGTGGGCATGGGAAGTATTGGGAATGAATTCTGTCAGTCTGCTCTGTCCATATGTGAATACACCCCAAATGAACCCGACGTTCATGTGGAAGTAGAATGCATTAATTAAAATAATAATGAATGACTATGACAAGAGAATGGAAACCAGCAGAGTAGAGCAAGGGACAAGGAATCGGGAGGGGGAAGGGAGGCAATGGGGAAGGAGACTGATGAACTATGCTGTGGATGAATACGGCATAATGAATCCCACTATTATGCATGCTAAGAATGAACCCATAAAGCAAAGTAGGAGTACTGTTGACAGTAGCTGCTGAAAGGAGCAAGGTCAAGAGAGAAGTGATGAGAGGGCATTAACACCATGGCTTGTGTCTATTCTGCTGTGGGCATCATCATCCTGGCGTGGATTGTTGGTTGGTAGGTTGGTTGCAGTATGGGGGACTGAAGCCAGGGTCTTGTGAATTCTAGGCAACTGAAATACAATGATGTTATACTCCTAGGCCATTTTTATTTTTATATTTTGAAATGGTGTCTTGAAGAGTTGCCCACACTGGTCTTGAACTAGTGATCCTTCTGCCTCTGCTTCCCAAGTAACTGGGATTATGTGCATGCACCACCCCACCCAGCTGGGCACCACTGGTACCAATGAACAATGCATCATAATTGTTACTTCAGTCTCCTGGAACACTGGGTGGGATCATCCCAAGGCCAAAACCTGACATAAAATCTTGCCAATACATTGGGATGTTGAGTAGAAGAAAGGCTGAGGACTGAATGGTATAAAATGCCAAAAGAGGATGGGAATGGTCTCTACAAGGATGTGAGTCCACAGTTCACTCATATTCATAGGGCATAAAAGCACAATGAAGATCCAGGCCATATTTAATAAAGGGTTTCAGGATCTGTGGAGGGACATTTTTGGTATTTATTCATCTCCATTGTTACTCCTTATCTCCATTCATTAACTTTGTTCATTTCATTCTCTCACTTGCTGTTTGAACTAATTACAAAAACTAAAAAAGTGATGGCTTCTATAAACCTGCTCTGTGTATAGAGCTCAGCTTAAAATATGCAAACGGAAGAAACATACTACAAGTACAGATGGCAGGGGTGAGTTTAGTGGCAGGTTAAAGGTCACGGTCAGGCTCATCTCAGGGCCCCGTCCAGATCCCTCCCACGTACCCAACACTGAACTGGGATCGTACCTCTGAGAATCCAATAGGCCATTCTATCATCTCCTCACTGATGACCAAGCCTTGACCCAGTGGACTCCTGGGGACAAACTCTCCTACTTTAACCAGCAGCCCGAGACCAGCAGGGAAATTCACAGCGTTGAGGATGTCATACGGGGCCATCTGGCTGCTCTTCTCATCCAGGGAGATGTGCTCCCCAGCGCTGTTGGTAAACCGGATGTTCTTCAGGAACGGATGCAGCTGCAGGAGGCAGAGGGCATCCAAATAAAAGATGGAAAACCATATGTACCAGGAAATCCTTCTCTTCCACCTCCCCTCACTCTGAAGTCACTGGCATTAGTGTCTCAGTTCTGTTTGGTGGCTACCATCTCATGGATTCAACCGGGAAAAACCCTTCTTTCTCTGAAAACAATGTTGGAGTGAATGAATCCAGTCAAAAAAATTCTTGGATGATGTCACCAGGGTGGCCTTGGCATGGACTCCTTGCAATCTTGACCAATCAGATCCATTTAGGGCTTCTCAGGAGTCAATCTTTGCACACTGAAATGGTCACAACGCGGACTGATGCGTTGCTGGTGTTAGTAGCATGAGTGCATGAATATGTCAAAAATCATGAGAATGTTTACATTGAATACGAGCATTGCTTTGTGTCAATTATACTTCAATAATGATTAAGAAAGCATGATGTGAGTTGTTTTCCCTCTATGCCCTCAACCTTTTTTTGGAAAATGTCGCCATCTTGTAATATTGCAGGTGGTGGTCTTTGCCTTAAAATAGGAAAATTGAAACTCCAGATTCTAATGATTTTTCATAGAGTGTGGTAACACTGTTATCCGTGACACTATGTTGGGAAGATAAATGCCTGTTGTTCTTTAAATAAATGTTGTTTAAGTCTTCAGTTTTGTGGAGCTGAAGCATTCTAAATAATCCACAATTATGTCATTGAGTTTATCTTGTTAAAGTCAACTAGTTTTCTTAGAATCACATCTAAATAAACTCAATATGGCATATCAAATATTATTGTTATTCAAAATATACAGATGGTAAATTAAACTCAATGGCATAACATTTCACACGTACATATTTAACCGCCTCTGTAAATGAAATTTAATTGATTTACTTGATAAATTTCATTAAACAATTTGTCCCTTTTCATGAGAGATTATAAATGTGTTCCTTGAATGGGTTATTGATTCAGATAAGCCAGGTGGAAATTCAGAAAAATCCATACAGGACCCAGGGAAATAGCCTGAACTGACAGGCATCATTGGTGGCATAACATCTAAAAACGGAACCATAATCCCTTTCCCAAGCTTGTTCCAAATTTTTGATAAATAGTGATGTCAAAACCTGATTCATTCTCCAGAGTCATTTTAGGAGACCATGTAGGAGCCATTTCTCATCTCTCTTTTCACTGAATGTATCTCCTAAAGGACTTGGGACATAGTATTTTAGGTGGAACAGCTGTTGACAGATGTGGCCACCATGTCAGTGTTCTCTACATTTGTGTGCACTCTAAGGAAATGTATAGGTTTGATTACTTATTGCCCTATCTGTTCTGTCATGGGCTGTGTTTGGATACTTTACATAATTTTATCTTACATTTGAAAGTATTTTTGATGTAACATTTTTTTAATTTTAGGAAATCACAGCCTCCTCTAGCAGAATTCTCCTGATACAGATAACAAGTATCTGTACATATCCAATTATCTGTATATGACAATCATCTGTAATATATCCAGTGTCAAAGAACTGATATTTCATTTTTTCCTGATTCTTTGATGTTAAGATGAAAACATGGCTATGCGATACGTCAGTATAATACCCACAGATGCCCTCAGTTGCATGCATGACCTGGTTCTGAAGGAGGTTTACCTGCCAGGGATGAAGCCTAAGCTGGTCTTCTAAAGATCCCATTTCAGTTTTCTGAACAAGCATGTGATGGAGGACGTGGGCCAGCGCATACACAGCATTATAGATGAAGTAGCTGGAGTCAGACAGGGTCATCATGTCAATTACTCCCGACACAAACTCGAAGGATGCATTTGGAGGGCAATTATGAATTTGTCCACATAGTGACCCAGCCGGTGAACAATGAAAGAGGTGCAACCACAATTTAGAGAAGTAAAAGTCCTCCGGGTAGTGGGAAGGGGTCACTGTCTGGAGGAAGTGTCTGAAGCCAGGGATTTCCCCCCTGTGAGGCGAGAAGGAGAAGCCCCCGTGGAAAGAGTGCAGCATGTGGTTCATCTCGTGCAGGACGATCTCCTGCTTCGCTGCCATGATCCACACCTTCCCTGTGGTCAAAAAGAAGTCTGCGGCCATGTCCACGGTGACGAGGCTCCCTGCTTCACCGTGGAGTATGTGCACGTTTGCAGAGGAGACTCTGATCCTACTCAGGAAGGTGATGTCCCCTGTCCCATACATTATCTTAGTGACAGGGAGCTTTTCTGTTAAGGCCACACAGATACCATTCTTTACCATCTCTGCTTTCAGATCCCTCAGGAACTGCTCTCCCTTCAAATCATCAGACAGGAAGAGCGCCACCCACGTCCAGCCAAAGTGTAGCAATAAGGAGACCATTGCACGGGCCAGAGAGCTGTCCTTGGGGGCCATCTGATAGAGCGATGGAAACTGGTCTTTATCACTCAGCACGGGATCAAAAGGTCCATACGTGACCTGAATGAGCAAAGAAAAATATCAAGATTCTAAGTTCAACTGGACATAGGGTTGCTTTCTAGGGCATGGTACGGCAGAATTTTCTAGGTGAGGGCTCACAAATGGATTACTGCCGGGGAAAGGGAAGGAGTGCGGTTTCAGTCAGTATGTTCTCTGCTGTGACCAAAAGATCTGACAACAACAATTAGAGGAGGAAAGTTTACTTTGGGGCTCATGGTTTCAGAGTTCTCAGTTCATAGACAGTCAGCCCCATTTCTCTGGGTCCAAGGTGAGGCAGGACATCATGGAAGAAGAGTGTGGTGCAGAAAAGCCACTCTTCCTGCCAACAGTCACCACCCAGTTACATCCGTGGATTGATGCACTGACTAAGTTGAGGCTCTCATAACCCAATCATTTAACCTCTAAAATGTCTTGCATCATCCCACTCATGAGCTTCTGGGGGACACCTCATATCTGAACCATAACAAATGCTGTAGAAATTGCCCAGTTCCCTCCTTCTGAGCACAGGGAAGACCATGACATCCTGCCCCACCTCCTTCGGGAAAGGACACGTGACTTCCCTTAAAGTCAATGCGCAAGATCCCCATGTGCTTTTCATCTCAAGTAGTGGGAATAAAGATGGAATAAAAGGAGGTATCTTGCCACCTCTACAATTCCTTGGGATCTGTTTTATCCCTCATGGGATATGGAATCCCAGCAGTCAAATTTCCCTTTGATTAGATGTGAGGGACTGTGATTGGAAGAGACCCGAATTTCTCTCTACCTACCTGTGGGGTCCTGTAGAGCTCTAGAAGGGTTCCAATCTCCGCCGAGAAGGCTGACACGGTCCCTGCAATGACGGCAGCAGACTTGCTCTGGGTCTGGCAGTTGTAATTAGGGACAGTCTGTATTTTTCCAGACAGCCAAAGCAGAGTGCTCCACAAGGTGAACTGGTCACTGGAAAAGGCATTATAGACGTGGAAACCTAAGGTCAGGTTGGGGAGCAGGTGGGAGTCCTTGTTGACCTCCTCGATGGCAAAGTAGAAAGCCAGCACATACTGGTAGTTCTTCCAAAGCCAGCTAAACACAGAAGAAGAATTAGGGAAAATGGTCCAATCATGTCATCCAGGGTAACTCCTCTGTCAAGCACAGAGACAATCTGTTAGATTCAGGCATCCACCTCAGAGATTTTCCTTCCCTGAGAGATGGAGCTGATGTGAGGAAGGTTCCCCAGCACGGGAAGACCATGCAGTGGCTCTTTCCCCCTCAGGAAGCAAACTGAGAGCCTTGCAGGGCATCGTGAGTGGGTGAGGTGACATTTGCTTGGGTCATACAGCTGCCCAGTGGGCAGATTTGGTTCTCCGTGTCCTATAAATGGGAGGTGCATCATCGTATGCACAAGACAGCAAGGTGTCCTCCTCTGGGGACGCGAGTGAGGGCTGCACTCTCCCCTTGGCAAACCCTTTAGCAAAGGCCGTGGTGCTTCCCAACCTGTGGTCTGTGTCTAGTTAGAGGCAGACACCAAGACGCAGGCACTTGGACCCTATGTGTCTGCAAGTGTTTCAAAGGGGCTCACTTGCCAGTTCTTCAAACCACTGGGATCAGGATCCTCTACACCACTCCACATTTTCTTTGAAAGTTAATATTTGATGAGAACATCCAATTTATTTCCATAGTCTTCAAACTGATTACTCAACTTAAAATATTTCCCTTTCTCTTTAGTAAATTCTTTCTCATTTTATGTTTGAACATTTGAAACTTTTCTCTAAGTAGATTTTCCAAAAATATTGGTTGTTGAATTGTAATATGGCTGTTGTTTTTTTCTAACAGAATTCATTTTTGTTTGATCTTTATGAATTTCTTTTCTTTGTTTAGAATTGACCTAGTTTTTTTAGAATATCTTAAATTGCAGTCTTATTTAAATATTCAAAAAGCTTCACCTTTTCATGAATTGTTTAGACTTAATATTTTATACTATTGGTGTTTTAGTTCATATCCATTGTTGCTTATGGTTTGATTCTGTGATTTTCCATATATGGTTTTTATTAATCATTTATTTTGTAGGAACTCTTTAACTGAATATGCTGAAACATTTTTAAGCAGTTACCAAGTAACAATGTTTTATTTTAATTACATCTGTTTTCCCATTATTTCCAATAATTTTATCTGTATCGTTGCTATTCAAGGATATTTTCTGTCACTAAAACATATGGTCAAATGTTTTTATTTTTCCATAAATAATTGATAAAAATATTTTTTCAGTCCATGAAGGACTACTTTGATATGGGCTAAATAGAGCAGAGAGATTTTACAGCTGGAGTTTGTCCAATTATTGATTTTTATCTTTGTCCTATTAAATTAATAACAATGAATCAATAATTTTGTTTACCTTTAAGCATTTTGTCTTACTTGTTCTGATACTTTAAATGAAGGAAATGTTTTCAAAGGCTTAAATTTAAATTAAACTTATTGTTTTAACTGAGAGATAAAATATAAAGATTGTCCATATTTATGAGGTACCACATGAGGTTTTCATGTACGTACGCGTTGTTTAGTGTCTAGGTTCAGTTACACATGCCTACTCAGTTGTTTCTCTCTTTACTTGGTGAGAACATGCAGAACCCTTTCTCTGAGTTATTCAAGGACACAGTCATCATTGTTGTCTGTAGTCATCCTCCTGGTAAGAGCACACCAGTCAATCCCACTTGTCTAACTGTAACTTAGCACCATAGATCCACCTCTCCCACCCCTCACCAGTCCCTGTTCACTCAGCCTCTGATAAACTGATTTTTTCTCCACTTCTATGGGATCACCTTTTGAAAAAAATTCAACTCCCTCCAATGTCCCCAGTGCCTGATCAATGGGATAAGACTGAAGGAGTGGTCTCAATAGATGCTGAATTTTATCCTATGTCTTAAAAAAGTATAGATTCACAAGTCTCAAAAAAAGACCTAATATATGATAATGACATACCTAAGAATAAAACTAACCATAAAATGAAAGGTCTTTACAATGGAAATTATAGAACATGGAAGGAAGAAATTAAAGAAGACTCAAAAAGATAGAAATACCTCAACCATAACCTCAAAGTGGATAAAAGACCTAGGAGTTAGATCAGAAAATATGCAACTTCTCAAAGAAAACATAGGGTCAACGACTTTCTCAATAGGACCCCTAAAGCTCAGGAAATAATGGCAAGAGTGACTAAATGGGATAGTACCAAATTAAAAAGCTTCTTTATAGCACAGACCTACAGAATGGGAGAACATATTTGCTAGCTACTTTTCTGACAGAGGATTAATGCAGAAAATGTATAAAGAACTAAAAAAAACTTTACACCAAACCCTCACAAATGATAAATGAGCAAATTAATAAGCAAACACTTTTCAAAAAAAGAAATACAAACTGCCAACAAATATATGAAAAATCTTTCAATGTCATTAGCAATTGTGGAAATGCAAATCAAGTCTACATTGAGATTTCATCTCACACTAGTCAGAATGGCAGTCATCAAGATCACAAATAATAGTAAATGTTGGAGAGGATGGGGAGAAAAAGGAACGAACACTTTACACTGTTGATGGGACTGTTCATTGTACAATCACTATGGAAATCAGTATGGTTCCTCAAAAGACTAGGCATGGAATCCAGGTATACCACTCCTTGGTATTTACCCTGAAGAACTAAAGTCCTCTTATTCAATGATGCAGAACAATTCAAAATAGCTAAACTATGGAACCAGCATGGGTATCCATCAATGGGCTAATGAAGAAAGAAAATATGGTTCATACACACAATGGAGTTTTATTCAACCATAGAGAAAAATGAAATTATGTCATTTACAGAGAAATGGATTGAACTTGAAACCATTATGTTAAGTGAAATAAGAGAAACTCAGAAGGTCAAGGGTCACATTTTTTTCATACTTAAAAGTTAGGCAGGAAAAAGGAAAAGAAATGTGGGGAGATGTTATGAAAATGGAAAGGAGATCAGTAGAGGAAAGGGACCAAGGGGTGGGAGGAGGGGAGGAGAAAGACGTGCTGGAGGGTGATAGTGGCCAAATTATACTGATATTCGTGTGCAGGTAGGAATATGTAACAATGAAGGCCACCATTATGTACAGCTGTAATGCACCAATAGAAATGTGAAAAGGTATCATAGAGCAAAAGATGAAAATGGAAGGTTGTGGAAAGATAAAAGACAATTGGAATGGAGAAAATTATATTGTATGCATTTATGAATATTTCAGGATGAACCTCACTATTAGGTATAATTATAATGCACAAAATAAAAGAAAACTAAAAAAAGAAGGAAAAGACCTCAGAATTCACTGTTTCATGTTTCTGCCATTGCTGTGCACAGTTTTCATAACTCATGGGGAAAACACACACACACACAAGCAAAAAAAATCCAGTTACACAAAATCATGACCATACCTAATACACACACACACACACACACACACACACACACACACACACACGATCTAGAAACTTACCTAGTAGCTCTCACCTCAGTCTTTGGTTGGAGTAAAAAGGATATCCTGGATAAGTCTGCATCCTGGTTCATGTAGTAAAGGGGGAAAAACCCACTGAGGACCAGGTCTCCATCTCTGTAGACAGCTGGCCTCAAGTATTGTAAACAATTCTGAATCTCCACCCATGAAGTATGTACAGGCTGTGGGAGCAGGAAGAGAAGAACCAGAAAGAACACCATGCCCGGCTCTGCCCAAACAGAGACAGAGCCTAGTGCACAGTGTGAGGTGGGGAGTGGGGGCTGGATCATGTCCACAGTCTCAGCTCTGCAGGGAGGGTCAGACCCTGAGTAGGGCACAGAAAATCCCCACTCACTCCATGCCCTCCGGCTGGGAAAGCACATGCAGGAGCAGCTGGCCAGGCCTGGGCACAGCCAGGAGCAAAGGGGACTACTGAGGGAGACTTGGTGCTCTGACCCTGCCCTTAGTGTCCTGTGGTCAAGACAGCTCTGGTGTCCCTGTCTTTTCTCTGCTTCCCTTTAGTCCATCCAGGAGCTCTGGGGATCGGTGCCCTGAGGCTCTGCACCTGTCACCCTGGAACTTGGTGAAAACTATAGTTGAAAAACATGTTTGGGACTCCTCCTATGGGGCCTGCGATTTCATCATGTTTCAACAAGGCATTGGGGACCACCACGTCCTGAGACAGTGGGCCCTGTAACCCAGTGACCTCAGGGGCCAGGGCGAGTTGTGTGAGAAATTGGGCATGTTTGAATGAGCTGGTGTTGGAATCCACCAAACACCCAGGAGTGTGATTGCACATGACGCTTTAGCAAGAGGGTGAAGGGCCGAGGTCAGTCAGTGAAGACTTCCTGTGCCACTCACATCTAATAGCACCCTCAGGTCTCAGTGCCCTCCTGGAATAAATGGGCTTCATGATTGACAGGGCATAGGCTGCATGGAGGACAAGCTGGGAAGCTCACCTTGACCTCTGCACAGAACTGAGACCACTTACCCCTGAGCCTGCTGTTCTGCGCTCTGCCCCTGGGGATTCTTGCACAAGTCTCATGGTTGTCTGCTCCACATGGCCCAGCTTCCACGGCCTGCTCTTCAGACAGCACTCGTCTCCCCTGGTCATGTTTTCCTGATACCATTCTTCACAGAAAAACATTTGTGATAGCATTTTATTTACTCACTTTTATTTAAATTTTTTGTTGACAAGTATAAACTGAATACATTTATATTCTACACAAGATATTTTGAGATTACGTATTTAGGAATGACTGTCTCTAGCTCTTTAACATATATGTTATCTTACATACTTATTAGTCAAGATTCCAATACTGAAAATCTAGCATTTTCAGCACATTTTAAGTATAAAATATTTTTCATTAGCTGTAATGAGCACTCTAGCAGATCTCCTGAACTCATTCCTCCTGTGTAAATGAAAGTTTAATTCCTTTAGCCCATAATCCCCAAGTTCTCTCTTGCTCGGCTTCTGGTAACCACCATTTGAATCTGTTTCTGAGTTTGACTTTTTATACTCCTTGGGTACATGCTAGGCCCTGGGTTCAAGCCTCAACATCACATAAAAATAAATAAATGAAGGCACTGTGTCCAACTACAACTAAAAAATAAATATTAAAAAATTTGCTGGATATATGATTCTTTGCTGGCATCCACTCATTATCTTTTAGAGCTTGTTCCAGGATCTCCTAGCTTTGAGAGTCTGGGTTGAAAAATCTGCTGAGATCTGAGTTGATCTTACCTTATAGGTAATCTGATTTTTTTCTCTTGCAACCTTTAAAATTCTATTCTTACTCTGTATGCTAGGCATTTCCATTATAGTGCGTCTTGGTGTAGATCTGTTGTAATTTTGTACATTTGGTGTCCTATAGGCCTCTTGTATTTGATTTTCCAGTTCATTCTTCATGCTTGGGAAATTTGGTTTGAACCTTCCTCTATCCCAATAAATCTTAAATTTGGTATTTTGATGGTATCCCATAATTCTTGGATGTTCTATTGGTGGTTTCTTACCATCTTCACGGTGAGGTCAACTTTATTTTTAAGATTGTATGTTTTGTCTTCATTGTCTGAGGTTCTGACTTCCATGTGATCTAGTCTGTTGGTGATGCTATCTATTGAGTTTTTAAATTGGCTTATTGTTTCTTTCATTTTGAGGATTCCTATTTATTTTTTCTCTAGTATCTCTCTTTCTTGAAGTAATCTCTTGCAACCTGTACTCTTACCTCTTTGTTGGAGTGATAGATTTTTGCCTGTATCTGCTCACTTAGGTCGTTCTTTAATTCCCAAATCATTTTGAGTTATGTATATTCTGAACTCCTTCTCTGACATTTCACCTACTGCACTATCTATGGATTCTATTGTTGTAGTATCTTGGTTTGTTCGAGGCAATTTCCTCCCTTGTTTTTTCATGATATCTGAGTCTTTCTCTCTTGCAGTGTAGATCTGAGGTATTAATTAGCTTCTGCCTTATTGACTTATAGTGAGCCTACAGGTTTCCAATATCTCACTTTTAAGGGAGAGATCAATATTACAGCACTCAATGTATCCAACGTGCAGCCATCAATCAGTTGGCTTCTATTTTTATATTTACACATTTGTTACTATAATCAGAAATGATGAGTTAGGTTATCTTCTACTTTATAGTCAAAAGGTTTACGTAATGGTTTATAGTTTCTGATGGTGGAAGGGGGAACTGGGGGGTTGGCTGAGATGTTTATGAGGTAGGATGTTAGAATATGGAGGAATTAGATTATATGACAAGTGAAGGGGTAATCATAAGAATTTGGCTGTTAGTAGGAAAAACAAGAGATAGGCAACCCTATGCAAGACTCCCTGTTACCTCAGCAACAGGATAACTGCTATCACCCCTAGTAGAGAAACCTCTGGTGCAGTCAGGCCCACAAGGACCTTGGTGGTTTGTTACAAGGTCCTTATTGTTGTCCCTTGATACAAGTGGTGATACCCCAATTTTGTGGCAGTGGTAGTTTCGAGCCTATACGTACCCTTATGTTGGGCTGTGGAGCCACGCTTTGGTGAATAATGAACCCCACTGTGGAGTGGCTCACTGTGTATCTCTGGGCCTGGGACAGGCCTCTCCTTTGGATATGGGGTCATGGTGTGGTGAATCTTTTTGATTCAATATCCTCCTCCCTATCTCCAGCTGCAGTGTGGCGGGCAGGCCTCTCCTCTGGATCTCTGGGCCACGGTCAAGTTTTATCAATTCTGGAGTCCAATCTTTCTTGCCTTCTTCAAAAACTGATTATGTCCATTATTTCTAACACTTTCCTACTTTCAACCCCTTTCTTTGCTTAGCTATGGCTTATCCTAATCGAGTTTTATTCAGGTAAAAGTTATGCAAACAATAAAATAACCAGTTCTAAAGAGAGGAAAACAGAAAATGACATAAGCATGTTGAGATATTTTATCAAAATATAGATATGTATAAGTGTCAGCCAATTAATGAGTAAAATACAGCTATTAGTTTAGTACTATGATTTCAAGGACAGCCTTAATTGTAGGATAGCACTGTGGCTTGCAGCCTGATGGCCAGTGAGGGTACTTTCACAAAATGACTCATTTTAAAAAGGAGCTGGGCCAATTTATTTTATTTTAATTAGGTACAGTTCCTTTAAAATCAGGAATCCAAAACTGGGTTTCTTTTTGATTCGATATCCTATAAATGTGAAAGAGACTTACGAGATAAACTCTCAGAATGTCTGTTTCCCTGGAAATCTCATTATTCTTTAAATTTTTCAGACGATCTGATCCTCTCAGGTCTTATGAGCATAATGTAGAAATGGAGAGCAAAGATGCAGCCCAGGAGCCCTGCGCTGGAGGCCAGGATGGAGAAGACCTCCACGGCCACCGTGACCTTGCCCTTGGTGCTGTGGTGCACAGGGAGGAAGGTGAGCCAGACACTG